TTTGTTCCATCGCAGTCACGTGCGTGTTCCACGTAAGGGTTCGGTCTATAGCTATACCCAAAAATCGGTGGGTCTTGACAATTTCTAGTTGTTCTCCGTCTACAGAGAGTCTGAAGTCTTTTAGTCTTTTTAAAGTGAAAGGGAGAACTGCCGATTTGGTCGCAGAGAGGTCCATTCCATGCTCTTTTAAGAATGACACAATAATGTCTAGACCGTTCTGCAATGATGCTTTAACAGTATCAATAGAACGTGCTGACGCCCAGATGCATATGTCGTCTGCGTAGATGGAATACTCTAGCTCTGATGGAAGGAGACGTGACAGCTGATTCATAACCGCGTTGAAGAGAGTGGGGCTCAATACGCTGCCCTGAGGAACCCCATTGCGAAGAGTATGTTCCTGGCTTTTGCCTTTGTTTGTGTCTACAAAAATCTTGCGTTCATTGAGGAAGTCTGCTATCCAACGTAGGGTGCGACCGCGAACACCGAGTTCAAGAAGTCCATGTAAAACATGACTATGATTAACGGTGTCAAAAGCCCGTTTGATGTCCAGAAATACGGCTACGGTAATGTTACCTCGGCTTCTTTCGTGTTCTACATGAGTTACTAGGTTCAGTATACAGTCCATTGTGCATCGTCGTCTTCTAAAGCCAGCTAGGTGCGGTGAAAGTGCGTTGTTTTCTTCAACCCACCATTGCAATCGCTCGTTAATTAATTTCTCCATAACTTTACCAATACAGCTTGTTAGACTCACGGGGCGGAATGACTCCAGTGACATGGGCGATTTTCCTGGTTTCAGAAGAGGGACAACTTTCGCTAGTTTCCAGTCCTCTGGTAGACGTTCTTGTTGCCATATGTTATTAAATAGTTGAAGAAGAAGCGTGGTTACTTTAGGTCCCAAGTTCGAAAGGGCTCCGTATGTTATGCCATCTGGTCCTGGCGCTGTTTTTCTACCGGAAATTGTTTGTAAGGCAGTCTCCAGTTCGGGCATTGTGAATGGGAGATCCAACTCTGAATGAGTTGACCAAAATTGTGCATCTATTTTTTGTTTCACTGCGTTGCATGATGTTGTGAATTCTTTAGTACATGTCGCAGCGCCCGGCCGCGTGAGCAGTTGGCAAAACTCGTCCGCAACGAGGGCAACAGAAATATCCCGATGTAATGCCAAAGCCCGGAATGGGTGAATCTGAGTGACAGGAGTTTTAAGTGCTCGGACTATGTTCCAAATTTTAGGTATTGGTGTAAAAGGCGAGAGAGAATCGCAGTTACTGCGCCAGCGTTTTTTGGCAAGCTTTTTCAGTTGTCGACGCATGAGGGCATGCGTCCGTTGAGCCTCTAAGTAGTGCTCAACTTGCCCTGATCGATTGTATTTCCGTTCAGCCCTTCGTCGGATAGCCCGTAGCCTCTCATATTCGGCATCTACTCCAATACATCCCTGAGGAACTGATATTACCCGCGTGGAGCGTTCCATATTTGTGCGAATGCTTGTAACAAGATTTTCAAGTGTGCAGTCAATTGTATTTATGGTTTTAGTATTTAAGTGTCGATAAACTTTCCAATTTGTTAGTTGAGTTCTACGTTTCTGAGGAGACTGCAAAAGTTTAGGTTGACACACGAGGATAGGAAAATGATCACTTCCCCTTGTCTCGACATCTGTGCGCCAATCCATTCCAGAAGATAAGTTGTGGGAGCAGAGTGTTAGGTCTAAACAACTAGAATAACTAGGACCGCGCAAGAATGTTGCGGATCCATCATTCAATACCGTTAGGTCAAGATTTTCAGCAGCGTTGGAGATCATATCCCCACGAATATCGCATCGATCACTTCCCCAGAGAGGATTGTGGGCGTTAAAGTCACCAGCAACTACGAATGTTTTCCCAAGCTTTCGGATCATACGGGAAAACTGTGTAAGAGTGATGGGTGTAAGGGGTTCAAAGTACACGCTTGCAATGACTATGCATATCTTACCGATGTTCACTTTGCACGCCACATATTCCGGTGCATCCTCTTTCGATGTAGATACGACAGTTGATGGCAGGTCCTTTCGCACACACAGCATTGCCCGACTTGGGCCAGAAGGTCGTGTCGTTTGATAGGTCACATAGTTGGGCAGTCGGAATTGGGCTGTGACTCGTGCTTCGGAGATGGCGAGAATTGGGAACTGATGGAGGGCAACAAACTGCCGAAAGTCGCCGCTCTTTGATCGCAAACCATTGGCGTTCCATTGGAACAAAAAGGCCTGTCGGTACCGATCATTCATTTGTAGAATTTGAGTTGATCGGAGCACTCGAACGTGCAAAGATATGCTCCATTGAAAGTAGCATTTGCACTTCAGGAAGGTCTCTAGCCTCCGGTAGTGTTGTAACAATTGCCTTCAATGCAGCAAACAAAATCGGGAGCAGCAGCTTTTCCAGCTTTTCGGATCGGGCAGTTGTGTTTTGTCGGAGAGACGTTGAATATGGGTTGGTGTCGGCTGTCTGTGCCTCAACTGTTCTTGCGGTCAGAGGCGTTGGCGTCTGCGTCGAGTCACGTATTGCTGGCTTGCGTGGAGGAACCCGTGGAGGAAGTCGAGGTGGTATCGGTGGTGGAGGCGGTGCCGGCGGTGCCTCTGGTGGTGGTGCCCTAGGTCCGGCAGCTCCGATGGCTTCAGCGTAGGTATATCTTGATCTTTTCTGTATTGGGTTTGGAGGCGCAGGAGACACAGATCTCACTGCCTCTGGATTTGGTGGTGGCGAATGACGCTTAGTCGTCTTGCCGTGAATCAGTTCGTGTTTACGTAATGCTCCTATTTCTTTGTTTCGTACACAACCCGCGAATGACGCCGCATGTGGTCCACCACAGTTTGCGCACTTGGGGTGGTTTCTGGAGCTACACTCTTTATAGTTATGTGGGCCTGCGCACACCTTACATCGCTGTGGTCCTCGACATGTATTAGCCACGTGTCCATGCCTTTGGCAGCGGAAACAGCGTACCGCCTGTCCAAAGTATTCCTCCACCGGATGACGGGTGAATCCCAGGAAAACGCGTGTGGGCATTGGGCAGTCTTCTCTAAATTGTAGGATGACGCTGTCCCGTGGCTGCTTGACGACACTTCCGTCGCCTTGAGGTACGTAGGCAATTTGCCGTTTGACAGACGTAACCCCTTTGTCAGTGAGATACTCCAGGAGTTGTTCCTCTGTGTACTCGTTTGGGACATTTTTTATCTTGCCAAGATTCCTTGAGTAAGACTGCGGCACATTGGCCGCGACATCAATTCCAGCAACTGTTTTCAAGGCTAGAAGCTTATTTGCTGATGACAAAGAGGCAACACTTACCACAAGGCTTCCATCTTTGGTGATTTTATGTGAGCTCACTTTCTCTTGTGCTGTGGTGACAATTTCGTTGGCGATTCGGTTAGGGTTCACTTTCCAGAAGGACTGCGCCTTCGTTGACTTGAAGACGATGGGGATGCCTTTCGAGCGCTTTTTGCGGTATGTCACTGTTGTGAAAGGTGTCTCATCAAGATCAACGTCAATTTGGTCTCCTATTGAGTAGTCGGAAGTGCTTGCTCCGTCCGACGGAAGGCATAGTTTCTTCTCTGGTGTTTCTCCAGAGTCCTCCATTGCTTGACGTGTAGGGGCTGAACAACCAGCTGGGAGAATCAATTGAGGTGATCGTAGTAAGTGTGGTTGGCAAACGCCATGGAGGGGGAGACGAGCCTCCACCGCCTTGTTTTGCCCGTTGATGTTGGGACACGATTGTATCTGCGGAGCAGATCTCTTGCTCGCGGTCGCGGATTGGTGAGACAGTTCTCAAATTACCTTTCACGGCGAGGATTTACCTGTGGTGTTGTTTAAGCAGCAAATAGAAGAGAGCGGAGGAAAAATGGACGCTTCTCGTCCAGACACTTCTTCTTCTTCCTTCGTTATTCTTATTTTTTTTTTTTTTTGTTTACTTATCTTTTTGTTAGATGGGTCGACAAGCTTGCGAAAATTGCTGTCAAAGCTCGATCATAAGAGGCTCTGGCTTACAAAAGCTGAGTTACATAAACTAAGCAGTTTCCATATATAATTAAATCATGAGTGCCGAGAAAACAAAAAAGAACAAATGTACGTCATTTCAATGTTCTCAGCTGCTGGAAATATTTAATGATTTTTTCCCCCAGTCTCAATAATCGTTCCCGTATACTGCCGTCTGTTTAACATATCGCTTGTAGTGTACATATTCCTGATCAAATTTATTTTCAGTGTACCTTTGAGAGCGAGACCGAAGCTCGCCTCTGATCAGATCGAATTACGAAGGCTTCACTTGAAGTGTTTTTGGGCCCCGGAAATCGCTTCTGATAATTGGAGTGCTTCACACACAGAAAACGTCGCAAAAGTCGTACGGAACGTCGCGATCCTGGTGGTCGGTCGCAGAAGCGACGGCATAGCAGACGAACGGCCGTCAGTGTCGCTGGCGTCGCGGCGTCTCAACCTGGGGATGCCGAAGTTTCCGTCGGCTGGCAGGCTGCAGAACGAGCTACGGCGGAACAGGCGTCTGCCCCTATCTACCTCCGCAGCTGTTACACCGCCAGGATCGCGACGGTTTGCTGCGTTGTCCAGTTATGACGTCACCGCGGAACAAAATCGGAAAGGAGCAAAATAGAAAGGTAGGGAACACACCGGCGTATAGACTCTTTTTTTTTTTTTTTGGGGGGGGGGGGGGGGGGGGGGAGGGATTTTATGTTAGGGAGAAATTTCTTCGTGAATTGTCTTTGGTCCTTAATTTTCTAAGAAGGTGGCGCAAGTACCGCCCCATACAGAAAAAAAAAGAAATCGGAGTAGGTTTTTTTTTTTGTGATTATTTATTTTTTTAGGATATCGGTTTATTTCGGACATACGCTCTGGACGGACGCTACAAACGGTGACTATCGGTAAAACGCACACACACACATAAACACACACGGGAAAGAATTTCAGTCGAAGAGGGAAAGGTTTTGACTAAAACACTCGTAGCTTAAGCAAACATTAAAAAAAACGGTGTCTTTCAGATGAACCGATTACGTTTTATTTATTTTTTTTAACAGGAACTTATGTTCACTTCAGTGGTGTTTTTTCGGTTTGAACCGATTGTGTATTCTCACACCAACAGATGTTCATCGCTGTTTTTCTTTTTTTAATTTTTTTTTTTTTATTTCAAACGTCTAGGTATAGCCAAAAACCATTAGTCCATGTAGAGCTATTAAGTAGAGCGACCGGAACATGTACAAATTTGGGTCTTGAACTTATTTCAGTTACTCTGGAACGTGAGATGAACCGGTTTTTCCGTTCTGGTCTCGCCATTCACCGTTCGCGAAACAGTCCGGCGGAAGTCGATTGCCACTTTCGAGCGAACCACCCGCTTCGCTGTTCTCGGGCCCGGGTTGGACCTCTTGATCCCGGCCGCGGGCTCGGCGACGTAGCTCCGTATCCAGGGCAGGTAGGGAGCCACGGCGGTGTAGATTCCGGGCTTGCGCGGCTTGGCGCACGCGACGCCCGTGGAGATGACGCCGACCAGCGTCCAACGCGTACCGTTGCGGAGAGTGAGGGGCCCTCCGCTGTCGCCCTGCAACGTCAAAGAAAGAGGTAAACGCAACTCGGACGTGGAAACCGTCGTCGTTCTTCAACGAGCCCATCAAATGGCAGTTACACCGTCGCTCATACATCATTAAAAAAAAAAGAAGAAAAAACTTTTAGTTTTTTCACTCTGGTGAAGAACGCGTGCGGTCGTGTATTACTACTGCTTGTTGCACGTTAAAGACCCCAGGCTAGTGGTTGTGCTGCACTGGCTAAATTTCTCATCCACAGCTGGGAGACTCGTCGCTGGTTGAGGCAGACCAAGTTCTAGGCTGTATAAACATACCACACAACCCAATTTTTTTTCTGGTAAAGAAGGAAGACCACACTCTTAAAAACGTGTGTGCGTCTACTTTCACACACAAAACTCGGAGAACCAATCAGCGCAACTTACGGAGGCAGCTCAGCGAATGACGATGCCGAAACATCTGTTTAGACCAAAAAACGCAGTCTGAGTTGTGACATTAAGCGATGCAAGCGTGACGTTTTGCATTGCTTAATGTCACAACTCAGACTGCGTTATTTGGTCTAAACATATGTTTCGGCATTGTCATTCGCTGAGCTGCCTCCGTAAGTTGCAGTGATTGGCTCTCCGAGTGTTGCGCGGGAAAGCAAACTCACCGGCTTTTCTTGGAGTGCAGCGGAGCTGTATACAACGGAAAGTAATGGCCGGCCGATAGTCGGCAAGCCAGAGTGGAAAGGCTGCCGCCATCTATGAGCGACGGCGGCAACCAGATACGTGGCTTGCCGTCGTCGCTCATAGATGGCGGTAGGTGTCCAGAGTTCGGTGTCTTCATTTCTTTGCGGCGGACACGACCCTGGGGAACTCGCCTGCATGTACAGCGCAGTGACGTCGAACTGACGGCCACAACTTTTACGAGAGGCTTGATGACCGGTGCGATAAAACATATTAAACAACTGAAGTACATATGAAAGACAAAAAAAAAAAAAAAAAAAACGCTGCAAGTTTTGCAGTAAGGTTAAAAAAACGATTACTTTTTTTTTTTTTTTGCAGTCAGTTATACACGTGCATTAGCTATTTTATTAAGGTGTACCAGACGGCTATGAAGCCGCTCGTGAAAGTTGGTACCGCCGTCGGTTCAAAGTCAGTGCACTACACGCTCAACTGCAGTTTGGCGGTGTCTTATATGTGTTGCGAAGGGTGTAAAAATATACTTATTTTTTTTTTCTGCGTGCTCAGGCAAGTTTGAGTTAAACGCCGTATTTTCTGGGCGACGTTTAGAGCGCATGCTCGGAACGAGCTCACTTTAATAGGTTGCTAAAGTAGGCAAACCTCGACGGTGTGGAAAGCACGTTGCAGAACAACTGCAGCGCGCCGTCAGCACGCGCCCAGCAGTCGCGCACACAGGTACGGTTGCCGCTGAACGAGCACGTATGCAGACAGTCGTTTCTGCGACCATAGGCTCCTCTATACTCACAAAGCCTGGCAGTTCGACGACGGAACCATAGAGCGCCCGGTCGCAGATTTGGAACGCGCGGACCTGGTAGCACAGAGCATCAAAGAGACATTTCTCGCAGAACCTGGACGTCAGCGCACAGCTTTTGCAGCGGCGAGGACCCGAAACACACTTGTTCGCTCGGGAGAAGTGTGTTTCGGCGTCTCGCCGCAGCGGGGCGCCAGTCACGTGGCTCTCCTCTCATCCGTTGTCTGCTGCTACACCTTTCTTCATTTCGGCGGCCGCTTCTCGTGGCAATCTGCCAGGCTTTGTCGGTATATAGTACGACGTATTTAGCAGTGCGAAAGAGCGGCTTAAAAGATGCGCGAGCGAAAAAAACAAACGAATACATAAAAAAAATGAAGACGGAGAAACTCGAGACGCTCACCGAACAAGCGTCGCGTCCCCCTTTCTCGTAGCCCGCGCAGAGCATGTTGTCCCCCAGCTGCATGTCTTTCGGCGCGAACCAGCGGCGACATCGGTCCTTGGCCACCACGGGCACGGTCACCTCGCGCAGCAGGTGAGGACTTTCGGCCGCTGAAAACAGAGCGTGGAAGATTTATCTGACCCCCGCCGGTTCCCTCTCAAACACACACACAGCACCCGCGTGACTCCAGCGAATTGTATACCGGGCGCGCTGGTCAGGAAAAATCGCGTCGTTTTCGTCGCTCAGCACGCGGACCACCATAGATGTCTTGCACTGCAGCGTAAAATCGGTGTTACATATCGAAGCAAAGCGATCTTTCGACTGTAAAAACCTTCTTCTAGTCAGTGAGTAGGAATGACGCGGCGGAAGCATAAAAATAATTACTGGAAACGATGTTTGTTTTTATGCTGCCTACGAGAAGCAAGCGGCGATAGCAGACGACGGAGTCGAAACAACCTCTTCTCCTGAGCTTCTCGGCGTTGCCGCTACGCGGCGTCGATTCGGCTGGAGTCGCCATGGCCGCGTCTCAAGGTGCGTATTTGAGGATACTTGTGGAGTGCGTCAACGGACCGATTTAGGTACTCGATCTGATTGGTGCGTTTTCCTTGAACGTTGCATCGCATGGTTTGAAAGTGGAGAGAGATTGACATTAAGGGAAGGGGGGGGGGGGGGGGGGGGGGGTAAACACGCCTCAGCGATTCTGATCCCCTTTGGCCGGCTCCCAGATTTGCTTACCCGATAGGCGTAAGCGAATCTGGGAGCTGGCTAGAAGTTAATAACCTAGGAGTGTTTACTTAAGCCTCTTCCCCCGTAAACGAAGCGATGTGACGTCTATGAAAGCGCGCCAGTCAGAGTGGCGGGATCAACCATAAACCTTTTTTTTTTTTTTTTTTTTTTTGACGTTTAGCGGTTAATAATTCTGAGCTTGATCTGGATTCGGATTCCTGGCCGGTCGGAACTTGATTTCAAAAATAAACCCCGAAAACACGTACGTGACCTTACGCACGGGGCACCGTGAACCAGCGTTCTTATGCCCGAATCACATGGTGTAACTTTTACACGCGATTTCGCAGCTGCGACGTCGCTTGTGCGGCAAAAAAAAAAAAAAAAAGACGAAAAGAAGCGTGGTGTAGGATACTTAGGATGCTATCGAGCTCAGCGCTGCAGAAGCGAAATTGCGAACAAAACCGCACCATGTGGATCAGGCTCTAGATCTGTGGCTTGGCAAGCTAAGAGCGTCGCTCGAAAGCGGTTCCTCTCGCTGTCCGCCCGTATACCAGCTCGCGTGCAGACAACCTGCACGCAAGCTTCGGACACCTAGCGACCGTTATAAAGGGCAGAGCCATTAACATCCATCCATCCATCCGGCGGATAGCGTTCCCAACGCCACCGGAGCAGAAACGCCTCCGCGTGTAACAGAGAAGGATTGTTCTCGAACGACGCTCTATCTGCGCCAATTTGTTCTGCACCAACTACTTTGTACAAGCTTTATGCTTGCCATAAAAACTGGCATAAAATCATTTTCCACCGCAGGCAATGTGCATCGAATGTTCCACTGGTTTTGCCACTTTTGTCCACGCGGCGGGCTGGCAGCGTAGCGAGCGCCACCCGGTGGTCGCGCCCCGCAAAAGGCGCCATGGGCGTTCTGGGAATCTTGCCGACTGGCACTGATCTACAGTAAAACCTTGCCGTGGGCAGAGGCTCACCGTTCTGGGTGGCACCCCAGCCCGCTGCCTTGCACGGGGAGCCGGTCTCCGGCCAGTAGTCTGCCTCGTCGGGGAGGCAGACCGGGTGCACCACCGACGTCCAGGAGACCGGTGCGTTGAGTTCGAGCAGGGCCACGTCGTGCTCCTTACGCCACAACCAGGGCGTCGTATGCTGCCCAGCGAGCAGAGTGGCCAGGAGAGGGAAAACAACAACAAAAAAGTTGATTCATTCGTTCTCTAAACTGCGGACCTGGAGAATGTCTGCAGTTTACACAAAACACACACAAACACTCACATATATCGTAATGTACCGAGAGATCGCCCATCTAAAATTAAGAGCAAATAGACTGAAAATAAAGAGTGGGCTAACTTTCGATGTGCGATCAACAAAAGTTCAAAAAATGCTATTTCTCGATTATGTGACCTGCTAAACTTGTTATCTTAAAAAGAAGACACATATTTTGTGCTGTTTTGGCACAGCAGCAATGGAGGCCACAAAGTTGTTATCTGAGCGAAGAGGGATGAACCATACAGATGACTGCCCCCCCCCCCCCCCCCCCCCCCCAGTCAGAAATGTTCTTTTATCTCGCCATGCAACAAACCCCATTTTTCGCCAATGTCACCGTTGGCCTTTACTAAAAATAAGCTATCTTTTTGTGTCAAAAAAACAAAAAAAAAAAAAAAACATGCCAGAAAAAAAGGTATGGGTTATCTTCAGGTGCACATCAAGCATCCCAAAGCAGTATCGCGACATAACTCGGTTAGAAATGCCTTATATGCTCACATCGAGAATTGGGCGAGTAAAATCATATATACAGACACGGATATTATATAGTGCATGGTTCGCCTCTTTTTCCCAATTCTTGAAATGACCATATGTACATTTCTGTACGGGTTAAAGCATTTTGCACTTTTTGGCGCTAAAAGTAAGTTGACTGTTCAAAAATACAGTTCTAAACCAAAAAACTAACAATAGCATAAAAAATACACCACATAATTCTCTTCTGAGGAAAGAAAAAGCGTGGCCATCACGTCTCCTAGAGGGCGCTAGTTACGCTTCATTTCAAGTGAAAGTCACTGCGCATGCGCAGAGGCTTCCCTTGACGCAGATCTGTTTTCTGCTCACGCAGAGTGCCCCACCTGGTGTGGGCAAACACGGGCTTGTTTGAGACCGATGTGGAATGTATGAATGCCTTATTCGTGAATAAAATTACTATTAAGACGAAAGCCCTTCTTGTCCCATAACGCGAAAAAGCGGTGGCGTTGTGCCCGAAAAGATGGGAAACATCTTTACGTCATCAAGCACGCGCCTCGGAAATAAAACACAAAGAAAAGCACAGCCACGCAGATGCTTCGTCACGGAAGCCTGCGGGGGCTCTCAAGGTCAAAGCGGACGTGCCTCAGAAAGAAAACACAAAGAAAAGCGCAGCAACGCAGATGCATCGTCACGGAAGGCGTCATGAAGCCGGCGGGGTTCTCTGCGCCTGCGCAGTGGGGGAGCGTGATGTCACCGCCGGAGCGCCGCGTGAAAAAAGGAAGACGCCGCTTGTAGGAATGCGCTGCGTGTAGGAATGCTTTGGCATTCCTACACGTAAGCTGTCTTAAGTGTGTCTTCCGAATTGGTATTAATATTATTATTATTATTGAACAGTGTGTCGGTGTACAGATCGTAACTGGCGACGAGGAATCTCGGCGTGACAATGTCCAGGCACGTACGTTCCATGGCTCGTATCCGTGGTAGTCCGGGTAGGGTAGGATGCGGCGCACGTATCTCACGACGGCCTCGTCGTCCTGCAGCACCGTTCCGTGCCGACCCAGGCTGACCGTCCAGCTCTCGGGCCTCCGGTAACTGCGGCAGAAGACACACGTCCCCGATGGTATACACGGCGCCCGGAACTCGTCTCTGACCGGTGTGTGTCCTATACCCTGGCCATACATACATCAAAAGTGGTCCCGCAGTGGCGACAAATGACGTCACGAAAGCTGGCCTGTCTCTGTCCCTTCTACTTATAAGTTTCTGTTTCTACCCCAGTCTCGGGTTAAGTTCCATCATGGCTGTCACGCTGCTGGATGTCGCGATCCTGACGCGGTTAAACGTACAAGTCCCGACATAAAAAAAAAAGTTTGAGCGAGCCCGCGAGCGTCGCTGTCGTCGCGGCTTCCCAAGTCTTGACTGCCCAAAAGCTTCCGTGGACGCCGCCAGGATCGTGGGCAGCGCCAGCGTGACACTCCTATGACGTCATCAGGCGGAAACCCGGGGTCTACTTTTTTGGATGAAGTAAACACACCAGTCGGTGGCGCGTTCCTCCAGACACCCTACCATAGGGGAAGAAGTGAGTGGAGAGCCTAGACTGAAGAGAGGGTTCATCTCAAACCACGGGACGGGGAGCGTTTTCAATTTAAAATGGCGGACGCCTCCCGCGGAGCATGGTCCCAAGTGCGCATGCGCTGCGTTTTTGCGTGGAGAGGAAGAAAGCCGGCTAAAAAGGCGGAGGAGCTCGGAGACGATCAACGCGTTCGTCACCTCCTCGCAGCTCGTGTTGCAAACGCGTCCCAAAAGACCATGTCACCGCGATCAAGTATCTAGAAAGTCTTTGCTTTGTGAGGAAAATGTAGATTTGCCTAGTAGTCGAACGGTAATCCCCTTTTTCGTTGAGGGATCCTTTGTGGAGACGGAAACGCGCTCGAGCCTACAGCTTCCTGAGTACCCGCGGTCACACAGCAGACACGTCTCACGTATTATGAGGCAAGTTTGCTTCGTTCACATGTATGCTGCGAACAAGTCTGTAGGCAGTTTTTGTATGACCAATGGGACCGTCATACAAGGAAGAAACATGCCTTAGACAGTGGTTGTCTTTTGCATGATGCATTAGTTTCCATCAACGCGACTATATATATAACGCTATTTTCGCTTGATTGTATTGGGGAGGAGGACAGACCGTGACGCCCCAAGCGGTTAACCTAACAACTACACGGATGGGGACAACAAATACAATGACGCAGCGTTCGGCCGACATAACCGAACGCGGCGTCAGCGTTCGGCTGGAGTTCGTGTTTTCCGGTGAAGGGGAGGGGGGGCTCTTTCGTTTCCACTCGGCCTGCATGAACAATGCAGCATGCACGATCCCAGCTCATCACAAAAGCCGAAGTGGGTCAAGCTCGCATTCTCTGAGGATAGATCCGGCACTTAACGTCGCTTCGTCGATTGTTAGTATTTGTTTTTTATTAAACTGCGCCCCGCGCTCTATTGTAGAAGATGACATGGCCATGCCCGTAAGGCCTGTCGGCATGTGCGCAGGCCTTGTGTCCAGTAAACACCAAGCGTGGGGAAAACAAACGGGTCAGAGCGCCCCCTATAGTTCGATCTCCTGCCCAATAGCTCGAAAGAGCGTGCCTCTCAATCCAGGTGCAATTCACGGGTTATTAGTCGATAAGTGTCACCCTATATAGGAACAAGTATGGAAAGGGGCGGTTACTCTTTGAAGCAGTGGGCGGCGCTGAGCAGCCATCGGTCGGCGAAGAGCGTCGCTGCGCAGCGGAACCCGAACGGCTCTTGATTCCGCACCCTGAGTTGGGCGATCCAGGGCCAGCTCTCCAAGGAAGCCTGTCGGCCGCCGGTGATGCGGTCGGTGCCCGGCAGATCAGCGGGAGCCACACCGCACTCGTGGTCGTCGCGTCCGCTGAAACCTGCGCCGGCGGTATAATATAGGCCTGGGACACTGAGCGCGTCGCAGTTGCCAGATAAAGTCCTCTCATCGCCTTGGTCACGACCGCCACCACCAGGTGGCTCTTGGATTACCGGCTAGCGGTTGTCTGTTGCTGGCCCGGTTTGCCATGCTTCCTTATGCGGAGAGGAAGTCGTCTGCTTCTTGTGCAAGAGTTGCGGTGACGTCAGAAGGACGCCGAGATCTGATTGGCTCTGATTGAAGGATAGTGGGTAGACCTCAAAGCAAGCTGCCTTGAAGTCTACCCACTATCCTTCATTAAGAACCAATCAGAGCTCGGCGTTCTGACGTCACCACAACCCCTCCGAAAGAAGCAGACGAACTTGAGCTTCGCATTGAAGACACGCTTGTTTTGAAAGTAGTTTTCTGGGTATGGCCGCGTCAAGTAGAACTTGGCACTTGGGCTACGCGCGTGCTGTTTAGACACGGCTTCGTCCTTGTATCGTGCCTCAACGGCGGCAAGAGCAGTGTTACGAACGGATTGAGGCGAGATATCTCTGGCGCGATGTTCATGCTCCGGCGTCAATCGAGGTCATATCAGACGCGCTGAGCGGAAAGCGCACGCGCAGAAATGCCAGCAACGGCGCGACTTTTTTTTTCTGTTTTTCTTGGTTGCGCCGTCTGGCCGGCGGAGGCGCTGTCGAATTAGGCTGCTGAGCGCGCGCCAATAGGAAATTATCTGGTCGATCGCGTCGGAGCGCTCGCCCCGCTGTCTGTCGCACATTGTGCGTTTGGTATCTCCGACTATACACCAATCACGGACACGCGCCTTGATCGTGCGCTTTTTTCTTTTCATGACCGCAAACCCCCATAATCATCTTTTATTTTCCTTGGAGACCCACAAGGTGTATTGCACGAGGGAGTGGACATGCATATATAGCTTTGTAAATATAAAACGTAATGAACGCAACAATAACTCAATACTAAAACGCTGTAATCTAGTTTGAGGGGTTAGAGAGGAAAAGGGTAAAGGAGGCTGCAGCCAGTATATTTGTGTGGTTTATAGAGACAATCTGGTGAGGTAGTGTATTCCATTCTTTTATTACCGAGAGTAATGTAGACATTTTACACCAGACTGTGAACAAAGAAATGTTACGTAATTTAAGAGAACGGTCAATAATGGGTAAATACGGTGGGGAGGTGATAGCAAGGATTCTCCGGTATGGCTGTCGTGATAGAAACATTCAATGAAGAGACAGGCGGCGGAGAGAGAGTGTGTCTAGGTTAGCTGAATGGGGCGCTCCTGACGTGATAGTATAGCCGGTCGCAAGCAAGGCCACATGGCAGCCGCCACGTCTCTGCTCGTGCGGACAAGCCCGCGCAATTTTAACCTTGCCAAAGCTACGCGCCAAGAAAGTGGGGAAGAGGAGGTTTGCATTCGAACGCGTTCTACGAGTGCAGTGGAGAGAAAGGCAGCTAGGTTCAAGACTACCCAGCAATCTTTCCAACCAGAGCTCCTCGATTATCTGGTTCATTTAATGGTCGGTGAAAACTGAAGCAATTGAGATCGTGGCTTACCCTGTTCACGCTGCTTACTCAGTCTAAAATAAACTTCCAATTACGTTTTAAACAAAGTGCAATTTCGGTCTGCGGTTCCCAGTCATTGGGGTGTTTAAAGGGTGGAAAAGCTGAGGGGGTCTTAAGGGTTGAAGGGGTTTGAAGGGCTCAGTGGTGTTTGATGGGCTGAGGGGGTCTGATGGGCTGAAGAGGTTTGAAGGGCCAAGGGGGTCCCATGTAACGCATCACGGCTGAAGGATTATTTTCAATAGGGTTGTGCGATTCGTTCTTCGGCTTTCTCATCGATTAATGTCGCAATCTCATTGGCTGTAGAGCGATAATGAGATGCTCGGAATTCGACACGCCATGAGTTTCTGAAAATGTCCCCGACCGTAGCGAGGTACGCGCCAGCGGCAAAATGGCGGCGTCCAGCGGCCATACTTGCGAACATGTACGGAGCCTGGCACACATCTCAATAGACAGTGTTAGTGGACCGTACGCTATAGCTTTGCGTACGCAAGGAGATTACGGGTCGTGAGTGCGCATGCGCGGAACGTAATAGAAGGGCTAGCGTATTGCGTACGCACGCAACGCTGGGGATTTTTCGTTGCTGGCTAGCGGGCCTTGCGGGACGCTCTCGAGAGATCTCGAACCCAACGAGAGCGCCAGTTTCAAGATGGCGGTTCCTCGACTGGCGCAGCAAGGGCGACGTGGTGTTTTCGAAGTTCTGTGTTACGTGAAATTGCATGGTGTTCAGCTCGGCGATTCTTTCTGGGACCTACCGCGGTCGAATCAGATCGCCCTGCAGCTGAAGGAGTGCACAGCGGAAATGTTCGCCGCTCGCAGTGTGCGTCGACGCTGCGATCTGCTCAACGCTAAGCTTATTCCCACAGTTCATCGCCGGCGGACGAACGACTCTAAAAGAAATCGCCGAAGTTCTCGCTATGCACTGGACATCAGAGTCATGAATTTGATTCCGCCATAGCATTGATAAAACGTGCCGTTTCCACGGGACGACTGGCGGAGGCTCGGTAAACGAATTTGGCTACGCACTCGTACTCGTATACCTCTGTACCCCACAAAAAAGCGCGCTTGACGAGGCAGCTGTGGCTTGGTTTAATCTGAAGTAAAATGATTGGACACTTTTTCTTTTTCAATATATTTTTCCAGGGGCATGGTTGCGCTATAAGCATGCGGAATTCTACGGCTCTAGCAAATTTAACCAAGATCATGCGCGGTGTTCACTCGAAAACGTAAGGCACAACTAAATTCGGTCCGAGGAGGTCATTTTTAGCGTACACTATACTATTGCGTATTGCGTACGTAAGATCCAGCAACGCTATACTAAAACTGTCTAATGTCTCTATCGCCAACGTTGTTACTGTTACAGGACGCTACGGTTTTTCGGGATAACGGAGTCCTGGTCTCTTTTGGAGATTAGACGCTACGTCACCCAGGAGCTACTGTGTTTTGCTTATTGGAGCAGTTCTCGCTCTTCTGGATACGGGTTGGGGCTTCGTAAAAGCGCACAGGCTTTCAACCAGCCGCAGTAACACTGCTCAAACCTCATACAAAAGACGCGGTGCTCGACGCAAACACGATAACAGAATAACCTAAGGACACGTCAAGCTTGTTCGAGGCATCTTTGGTTCGTAGGTATGTTTGCTTTGAACGTTCCCGAAGACGTCTTTTTGTGTGATTAGTGCAACAGGTCCGTCATGCAAGGAAGAAAGATGCCTCGGACAGTGTCAGCAAACTGACTCTTGTAATAACAGTATACAACTTGTATTATTAACAGTGCGGCCGCGGCTTAAAGGCCAGTCGCCCGACTAACATAATAATCTTACCACGACCGACCAATCGTATAAATGCAAACGGATAAGGATTGAGAGGCATTGTGAGGCCGCGGATCCTCAGTGAGGACTTTCCGTGACTGAGAACAATTCACATCTTTCGTTTACCTGCAGGGCAGTCCTGTTCGTCGGTCCCGTCGCCACAGTCGTCTTTGCCGTCGCACAACTGGCCCTGAGACACGCAGAGTCTCTCGTTGCGGCAGCTGACGAGATCGGGAGGACAGTCAGCTGCGATGGTCATCCCAGAGACGACATTGCGCCGGCCCCGACGACATGGAGACATAGCCAGAGAGAGCCCACGTCAGGACATTCGAGTACCTTGGTACTTCGGACAAGAGAAGCCGACAGCCCAAGGAGAGAACAGCGTCCCGGGCTCAAAGTCCCTCAAATGGGAAGATTATGCATGCTCAAGCACCGTTGCAAAGTTGTTTTTTTTTTTTGTTTTTTTTTTCATGTTCATTTTTATACTATTAACGACAATAGCTTTCGAATAAGGGGCCCCAAAGTGCCCCCCCCCCCTCCGCCTATTTTTGTATCAATTAATAAAAGAACATTATAGGATAAATCTGTCTCACTTAATAAACTTCTCATCAGGCTACGCTACTCGACAGAGGCGTGCGCTCACAATAACTCCTTTTCGATCGCATAATAATTGCTTCAAGTACTCTTTTTTTCCGCGAACAGTAACTGATTGGAATAGCCTTTCTGAAAGTGTCGTTATGCAGCCATCATTGTCTTTATTTGAATCCCTTCTAAATTAGTTTTGTCCCTCTGAAAAATATTTGTTCTTTTGTTTCTGCGACTTGTTTGCTATTTTGTTTGCCTGCATGTCTTGTCAATCAAGTGTATACCCACCTGCTAAAATCCCTTTCAGGGGTTGCAGTATCAATAAATAAAAATAAATAAATAAAAAAAATGTTTAAACTCTCTGATCGTCGTTATTTATTTCGCTCTATAGGAACTGTGGCGTCCGGTTTTGAGCGTGGTGACTCGATCGCCGGGCCCTCAAAGTCACAACCCTCGGAGTCCATTGTTGTAGAGCGCGAGCCGACGGCAAGCTTCTACGGTGCTTTTGCAATGTGCATCCCACACTACCAAGATTTCCGGTATATTTTCTCGATTTTAGGTTACGAATATTTTTAGTGAAAGAAGTGTCCCTGAATTACGAGGTTAATTTTTTCCCCTCAATGCCTCGCGTAGTTTTGCAGATATCTGATCTCAAAGTTTTGTTTCTAGGGTCTACGGCGAAACCGAAACCACGAGCCCCCACCCATCTTTTGAGAAGAACTACAATCTTGGTGGTGAGCAATGCACGTCTCAGAAACGTTGTGGAAGCTAATCGCAAGCTCGCGCTGAGCAGGAACGGGCTAAACTATGGCCGCGAGTGAATGCAGCCTTCGGGGGCACCACGACGCGCTTGAGCGAGCAGGGGGTTGATAATCTTCGAGCACGATCGCCGAAAACGCAGCAGAAAAACACGGCGAAAGATGTGGCAGTATGAACAAGTAATTTCCTTGAGTACGAACTTGACGACATCGGGGCACAAGGTCACTTGCCAAACAGGCAACTTGCAGAATGCCCGCTGAGAAGCTGGGGGTAGCATTTTTTATATCGGTTTTCGGGTTGATCGCGGATTCCCATTAGCGCAATTATTCCGAAGTGCTCGTATTTAGTCTCCGTAAATTGATATCAATCATTTATTTTGGTTCAACTTTTGGCCTGAGTTAGCCTTTAAGAGGCAGATATATAACTCTTCAAATCACTATATACGTTTGAAGAACAACACGCACTTTGAATAGCGCACTCAGAAATGGCGTCCGGTTGCAACATACACAGCATTTCTTCGTTCGTACATACGCCAAAAAAAAAAAAAAAAGTAATCGCCGCCTTTTTGAATTTTTTTTAGAGCATTTGAGTGCGTTGATTTCGGTTTAACTGCATTGCGACTAGGGGTGTCACGAACTTTTGTCCAACCGAATTTTTAGGTCGAACTTTCGGGAATCGACTGTGTCGAACCGGATCCACGAACTTTCGACCTTTTCACCAGAATCGACCGGTTCGACTTTGTGGACAGTGTGGCCATACCTTGATACGAGCATGTCTAGGTTTGGAGAATTTTTTTTTTTATGCAAAGGGTTATTTTAATTTTATGAACAGTTGCAATTAAAAGAAACTAATTTTAATCACTGAAAAAGTTAATAACTTAATTTTTTGTGCTGTAATAACTGAAATAACCAATGACTGCTGCCCTTTATTCAACCCTTAGCCATCACCATCGAATCCGAAGCCAACTGGCCAGCCTGTCGCGCATGCGCATAGCAGTCGAACCTGAGTCGAACCTTTGTCGAATTTGTCACAAGGTCGAAAAAGTTAAACCTGGTCGAACTTGAACCTCAACCTGTTCGCGACACCCCTAATTGCGACTGTGAGCAACCAGAACATCCGTGCTTTGTACGCAGGGGCGGATCCAGAGCACCTTTTATTTTTTAATTTTTTTTTTTTTGGGGGGGGGGGCAGAACATCTTTAAGGATACTATTCTCCCGTTCTTTCTTGTGCACCCATGTCAAATTGCCCTCTGAGAAGGGGTAGGGAAAGGGTCGACTTTGTTTGGGGGAGGGGTCGGCCGCCCCGTCGCCCCTCCCCCCCCCCCCCCCCCCCCTCTTTGGATCCGCCACTCTTTGTACGCCGCATGCCGGGTATTTGTAACGGGCGGTAGCTTGCGCCACCTAGCCTGTCTGAAAAGACAAACGCGCTGCTAATTGAACTGTTTGTCATGCTTCATTCGAAGCACGGATATCCCGGTGATCTGCGGCCTTTTCTGGCCGCAACGCAGTCGACCGCAGTCAAACACGATTGTGGGAACGCTGTGGGCCCTTTAGAATCCAAAGGCTGGCATACTAGTGTGGCAGCAAGCGCTCATTAAGTGTATTAACCTAAGCGATAAACTTTGGTGCTCGCACGTACCCTCTCTGAGCAAAGTAAGAGAAAGCTCCGGTGTCGTGTTCGCGTTAACAGTGCCACGAAGTGTTCGGGACTATAGGTTCAAGCTGACGCCTCTGCCTGACATCTTTGTAGAGAGCACCAGCCTGCGAGCTCACCTTTGCGGAAAACGTGCTCGAAGTAGAAGTTGAACCCCTCTCCCGGGCCCAAGCCGAGGTACTCCAACTCCAGATGCAGCGCCCCGGACGAAGACACCAGTTTGGAGGGAGTGTCAGCACCGCACAACTTGGCGAGCAGTGGGGCGCTGGTAGAGTTGCCGTCGTACACGGAGAGCGAGCTCGTGATGCAGTCTTGGCCGAGGTAGAAGAAGCTCTTTTGGAGGCTGATCACCTGCGAGACGACACTGATCCATTGGCCAACCCCCTCCTCGGGCATGCGCAAAAGAACTCAAGGGCAACAAAACAACAACAACAACAGCAACAACAATGTCCAATCTCTCTCATTCTCACACACGTAAACGGCAACATACCTGCATTATCAGGATACCCTTTCTAACCTCCCTCAGAAAGACCTTTGTGGCTCATGAGTCCTTTCGTTTATGTTTGAATATAGTGTTGTTGTTTTTTAGGCCCGAATGAACGTTATTTCAACAGCCCGTGTCTCTCCTGTGCCCCTTCCTTTGTCATGTCCTTTTGAGATATATTTTTCATTATGCTCAACGATTACCAACAAGCCCAACTTACCATCTTGCTAAACGCCCTTCCATCTTTTTTTTTTTTTTTCTTGCCCTGTCGTTTAGATTTTTTTTTAGTGCGGTTTTGTCACGAAAGCTAAATGATCGAGAACTACAAAAAACAAACATATATTCAGGAGTTCCCTCAGCCACATCTTTCAAGAACACTGCAGAAGGCAGATGACGTATTTATAAGTATCGTAAACGTCAAAATTGAGTACAAACTCACCTATACTGTGGAATGCAGAACCAAGTCAGCATGTCTTATGGAGGACATGAAACATTTTTTATTCGCTATCTACTGCTTATAAATCCAGCACGCAAACTGTTCGTTCGGAGCAGTCACTGGCGTTTCTGGAGCAGATGCTGACATATGTTACCACTTAACCTCAAAATGATTTAATTGTTGCCTCACCACATAAAGCTGGAAGTAGTCCATTTTTTATGATTATCGAGTGTATATGATTATATTCAAACTGGTGATACAAAAAATTAACCACAAATAGCGTAGCCTTAGCCTTATTTCCCGGGAATTAACTTGACTGCTTTATCTGATTATTCATTACAGGTCAAACAATCATTCAATCGTAGATCAAAGAAGTCTTTATTTCTCTCTCGGTGCGATTCTTTCCAAACTATAATACCCTTGTTACACGGGCACACCTAACTGCAGTTACGCTAATTTATAATTAGCGCACAATACTTGCGGACAACATTCTGCGGCTGTGCAGTCAAAGCTATGGGCGAACGTGCGCTTGAGCATCTTGAGCACCCATCAAAGCAGTGCACGCGCTCTCTTCACTTTTCTTGAAATAGCTGTCCGAGGGTATAGTGCGGCATCTGTGCTGCCACGTAACCGCAGTTCAAGCTGAGTTAACCGCGGTTAAGTGTGCCCGTGTAACAGGGGTATAAGGGTCGTTCAGCAATCATGGAGCTAACCCAAACCGTTTCCCGCGTCAACCGCTTCTCCTTGTACACCGGTGCAAAGCGGCGAAGCTCGACGCGCGCGCGCGTCGGGGCAAAGAGGTGAAGGTACGCAAGTGTCACGACGTGAGGGCGCTCGGTTTTTACGGTAATAAAGCGGTCTTATCGAGAGTAAGAGACACTTCACCTCTCTTATCACTGCAGCCGCCGTCACCCCACTCAATTTAAGGGGCACTGAAGTCGATTGTGAACGATTGTGAGATTGTCCTCTTGTGGTGACAACCCAATCCTAGACGCTCTAAGCATCCCAACAAACCCGAAATCACAATCGTGCGTAGCTTATTTCTTTGTTAAAAGCGTGCTCAAAGATCGTGACGCGCCCTTTTTGGGAAGAATTTTCTTCCGAGTGAAGTGGTCGACGAAGGGAGCTTGTCTGCGAGTTGCAAGCGATGGCTTCGCCCGCGGAGAAAAAGAGGAGTCTTATCCGAAAGTGTACCTACATATCAGACACTCTTCGAAACAAGTTATAATAAAATCATTCGGAATCTGCGCGTGTTGTAAGGCTTTCAGTGGTCCACACAATGTACTCCGCGAGAGAAAAGAGTCCACATGTTTTTCTATTGCCCTGAGATGGAATAGGCAGTTTTGTAATATTGGTCTTGGTATATGTAGGAACTAACACATTTGAAACAATATAAGATCAAAAACGACCTTTTTCAAAAATGACTTCAGTTCCCCTTTAAGGAGTTTGTCTCGCGATTGTTTTGACTCCGTGGCATCGCTGACATCACAAAGACGGCGTCGCCGTCTGGACGCTCGGACGATGACGTCACTGGCGCGGGTGACGAGCGAGTTTTAGCTAGAATCTGTCCCAAGTTTAGAACAGCGGGACCCAAGACCTTCCCAGAAAAAATAAATAAATAAATAAAAGCTTTCTGCTCGCCACGTTTGGTAATTTCCTCGTGCCCACCCACCTCCTCCCCAGGGTTCGCTCCGCTAAAATAGAAAAAAATAGTATTTATTTTATACGGAGTGCAAGTTTGTCTGCTTCTTTTGCAGGGGTTGTGGTGACGTCAGAACGACCCCGAGTTCTGGTTGGCTCTGATTGAAAGATAGTGGGTAGACCTAAAGGCAGCTTGCTTTGAGGTCTACCCACTATCCTTCGATCAGAGCCAATCAGAGCTCGGCTTCGTTCTGACGTCACCACAACCCCCCTCCCCCTCCCTCCCCCCCCCCCCCCCCCCCCCCCCCGGCAAAGGAAGCAGACGACTTTCTCTCTGCACAAGACGAGTAGGATTATTGTACTCCGAGGGGCAGCCGAAGGCACGATCTTGATGGAGTCAATCAAGAAGCTCCTAAAAGTGCCTCGTCACAGTATACGTGTCGTCCTCGCGCGTTCGCTACGCCGGATAAAAAAATCCCGCGTACAGAAAGAAAAAAGCGCAGGATCACGGCGCATTCAGTATGCGTGATTGGTCTAGCCGTGAATAGTAAACGCATAAAGACGACGAGCGCCCCTAATGAAAAATACACCAGGCAATCCTGGTGTGACATCAAAGAATCCTGATGTGACACCAGAATATCTGGTGTGCCCACCAGCGATGCTGATGTATCGAGCACACCAGCCTGGCGTGCCCACCAGAAATGCTGGTGTACCCGCACATCAGCCTGATGGGTACACCAAGGGAGTCTGGTGTCACATCACAAGGACTCATGCGCCGACCAGGCAGCCTGGTGTGCACATCACGCAGTTTGATGTGACACCAGAGTTGTGTTTTCGTTGACTTCTCCCCCCGGTCCGCGCGCGTGTTTTCTATTAGTTTGTGTGCCGCTCCGTCCCCCGACGGGGTGCCTTGTTTCCTCCCGTCTTGGTGGTCGCCGGAGACCCCGCGGCGGGCTCCTTTGTGCTCAAGAAGTGTCCCCCTCGTCCCGAGCACTTTCACGGGCGGCCTTGAGCAGCTTGGGGAGCTCGCCGGCTCGCCTCTTCGAGGGTTTCTCTTTCCCTTTCCGCCGGTATTCTTGTTTAAGTTTGAGAAAGTAAAGAAGTCTTCTTTGTGAGCCGAAGCCGAAAAGATGTGTTGGTGCACTTTCCTTACTTCCGACGAGCTTGGTTTGGTAGCAAAGTAACAAAGGAAGCTAGTAATTATTACGATTTTTGGGGCCGAAATGCCTACTACGAGCGAGGAGGGCGTCGACCGCCTGAAGCCAAAGGGGATTACCCTGCGAGCCGCCACAACAAAGATCATCAACGAGACTGGCGTCTGCTGGCCACGGATCCAACCGACATCGGTGAGCTCGAAGAAGCATTTGATATTCTTCTACTTAAGGAGGCTTCCCTGAAAGAGCTGGACAAGGAAATCGAGCTATCTGTCGAATATGATGCCTTAGAAAAGGAAATTTCTGGTGTGGAGGGGTGCGCGGAACGGATCAGCGTAACTAAGACACGAGTCAACCGCAAGCTGAAAGGCCAAGAATTTCGGAACGACAGGGCGTCCGGTTCTTCGACGCACGGCAGTGGCTCCGGACAAACTCCAGTTGATCACGGCCAAATCCCTACAACAGTAAAGCTTCAGAAGCTTTACTGTTGTGCTTTTTTGAATAAAGTAATTATGGCAGCAGCGTTGTTGTCAAACTTATCATTGTACGCTTTTTTGTGAGTAAAGCAACACCCAGTCAACAGGTGGTCTGGTATCATATTACAACAAAACCTGATGTCCCGCCAGAACACCAGATTTCTGGTGTGACATCAGAACACCAGATTTCTGGTATCATACCCACACATCAGATATCTGGTGTCACAACAGAACACCAGGTTTCTGGTGTCACACCAGAAAACGTCCCAAATCACATCTGTGAAAAAGTCTGGTGTAACATCAAGTCACACCAGCCCTCGAGCTGGTGTATTTTTCACTAGGGCGCGCAGTGACGAAGCACTTTTGCTGCTGCTCGATTGGCAACGTCGGATCGTGGCGTTGGCTGTGCTGGGACTTTGTATGAAACGGAGTACGCGAGGTGCGATCAAAACGTTCCGAGACCGATTTCTGCAGCGTAAGAAAGAGAGGGCAGCACACCGTGTAAAGTTGCGAGACGGATTTCTGCAGCGGAAGAAAAATAAGACGGCACACGGTGATGCGCCTGCGGCCAGTCTAAGGCCTTCGTGTCTAATTACGTCAAAAAACGTCGTTGTTTTGTTTTGCTTTTGCCAACATTTGGAGCTTCGCAACGCGAGTTTTTGTGACCGCGTGCCCGAGCACACTGGCGATTTCGCCATATATAGACTGAAAAATCCAGAGCGAGAGCGAACGTCGATTCTGTGTCAATCTCGGCAAATCTAAAACGGAGACATTTGAAACGATTCGGCACGCTTCTGATGTCAAAAGGCGGTGAATTATGCGCGAAGCGTTTGTGAGTGACAATCGTGCGAATGTCACTGCCATGCTTGACCCGCGAGTGCCACTCAAAAACATTTCGCACAATTCGCTCGTAAAACACGCCTTGTTTTTTACCGAATCGCCGAGCGCCACGTACACTTTGCTCACAATCAGAGGCGTAGAACTACGGGAGGGGGGGGGGGGGGGGGGGGGGGGCGGGGGCTCTGCCCCTCCCCTCTGTAGTCTACGCCTCTGCCCCCCCCCCTAATAACATTGGGGGGGGGGGGGGGCAGACCCCCCCCCCCCCCAGGCCATGATTCTTACCAAGACGCTGTTTACGTCTATGTAACGAGCTTCTAGTAGTGGCATGTGAACGAAATAACGCACACAGCGACGAACAGATGGCGATATACATACGCTGTAAATGTGCCCCCTAAAAAAATAAACTACTGATCAGCCTGCCCCCCCCCCCCCCCCCCCGGGAAAATGGAAAGTCTACGCCGCTGCTCACGATAACTTGATGCACCGCAGCTACCACGTGACCTACCTGGTAGAAACCATTTGTATGTGCAAGTGGGATTACGTAACAACAATGTAATCATTGCTGTAACGGGCCCCTTTCCCAGCACGGGTTGGATCTTATCTGGTTTATTTCGTACACACTGCTCCGTGCCATCCACCCGCCGTATCTCTTTGCAGGTGCAACGACTGGAGCCGTCAAATATGAGCTACGAGATCAGTGAGGAATGACGCGTCAGCTGTATTGTTGTTAAAAACCACCGTTGCCAGCTGTTCGAAGCTTTATCTGGAATCGCAGGAAATGCTTTACCGCCATCCAGAAAGCTTAAAGCAGTCCGCCACAAAAAGAAACGATATTGCCCGAGCTTGGTGATACCGTAGACAAAGTTCAGAAAGTCGCGTCCCCCTCCCCCTCGGATCTCGTTGTATATGCATAGTAATGTCATCGATTGTACACGTGCATTTATTGCGTAAAATTTGATTTTCTAACTTTTTTAATTAAGTATATTTTAGGTGTATGAGTATATTTTCATACAATATATTTATTGCGCGCCGATTTTCTAATTTTAGTTCATATATCACACATCCTGTCCATTCGCCGAGTTCAAAGTAGCCTGTCCCGGAATACGGGAACAAATTATTTACTTTCTTAGATGGAGAGGAACTGAATTGAATCGTAATTACTATTGAATTAAATCGAACAAGAAATGGTCGTACAAAACCTGTATCTTATGTTCGAAGCATGAATACGTATAAAGTATAGAAGTTTCAAACACGCGGCCTGCGATTGGCTGGGTCGTGGTACACAGGCAATCACTCTAAAAAAGAAAAGGTCCGTGCGTCTACTTTCCTGCACAACAATCGGAGAGCCAATCACCGCAACTTACGGAGGCAGCTCAGCGAATGACGATGACGAAACATATGTTTAGACCAAAAAACGCAGTCTGTGTTGTGACATTAAGCAATCCAAAACGTCACGCTTTCATTGCCTAATGTCACAACTCAGTCTGCGTTTTTTTTGGTCTAAACATGTGTATCGGCATCGTCATTCGCTGAGCTGCCTCCGTAAGTTGTGGTGATTGGCTCTCCGAGTGTCTTGCGGGAAAGTAGACGCACAGACTTTTTTTAGAGTGATGCGCCACAGTGATCTGATCTCGCCGCCTCACTTTTTGCTCGAAAAGTAGCTCTGCTCTTTTAATGTATTCACATAGTTTAGGCTTTTCTGTGTTCATTTGCTATTTGTTTCGCTTTATTATTCTGCTTGCCAGCTTTTTGAGATGTACAACAATTCCGCTAGTAAACTGCAAGCGCGAGCTCTTCGTTAAAGAATGCATCTCGGCTGCACCAACTCTCGATCAGATGGAGCAACTGCCAATCATAGAGCTATGAGCTCGGGTATCACAATTAAAAGAAGTATTTGTTCAGGCTGTTGCAATAAAAATCGCCAGGAAAGCAAAAACTGTAAAATATAACTGATTGCTTTTTTTTTTTTTAGTTGTTTAAGAGACATGTTGAGCTTCGTTAATTTTTTGAATGAATTGAGCAACGGGAACGACTGTGTACTTTCTCTCTTCTGTTAAAAATGGCAGCACGTTAGCGGTGCGGTGTCATTTTAATTCTAGTTATCGCATCACATCAGGGCCCAAAGCAGTCATATAAACATCTAAAGATGTCACTGGCAAAACTGTAAGTATACGAAAAGCATAAAGCACGAGGTCGATTCTCTTTTAAACATTTTAACTCCCCCCCCCCCCCCCCTCCCCTCCAGCTTTACGTTGGATTTCGGCCTTTCCGGTGTTGGCTATCTGGCCCCCACACTCAAAAAAGTTTAAAACCACTAATATAAAAAAAAAAACTTCATTCGAACAAGCAATGGTCATACAAAAGCTGTACCTTATGTCCGAAGCGTGAATTCGTATGAAGCAAACCCGCTTAATTCGAACAATGCTTGAGGCGTGTCTGCAAGTAGTTCTATCATCGTGGCTGCAGACCGTGTCTTTTACATAATGTACGAGTAGTGCGCATCTGCGGCTTTAACGTATACAGCGGTTCTAAGTGTTTCTGGCCACGATATGTGAAAGAGGAACTCCGCAGCTCCGGTGGTGCCCACCTTGCCGGGGCGGTTGGCAACCAGGGTCCACGAGCAGCGACTCGGGTCTTTCCCACTCGCGGGCGGTTTGGCGTTGCGTCGATAGGCCGGTCCGAAGAGGACGCCCTGCGAGACTTCCACCAACTGTCCGCCGTTGCACGCCTGGTCCGGGTAGATCTCCGGGATGCTGCCTTCCACTCGCCCTGAAAGCGCAGGAACAGTCCGAAGACATTCGACAATCTCTAAAAATAGGGTGGTTGAGTGAGAAAGAGAGAGGGTCCGAAGACATTCGACAATCTCTAAAAATAGGGTGGTTGAGTGAGAAAGAGAGAGGGTCCGAAGACATTCGACAATCTCTAAAAATAGGGTGGTTGAGTGAGAAAGAGAGAGGGTCCGAAGACATTCGACAATCTCTAAAAATAGGGTGGTTGAGTGAGAAAGAAAGAAACTCTTTACGGGAACAAATTTTCAGCACGGTTGACGTCGGGGATTGCAAAAAATATAGCGTTGGCCGAATAAATGACGTAAACTTAGTCATTAGCTTTTCTTTTTTTAATTATTGACAGTAAGCATATGGCTCCAATTAGAAACTTGTTGAGCATCGTCGAAAACTACTAAATTGACAGATTTTAGAAAGATCTAAGGCACGAAGTTTATCTATGTGCCAGCGCGTTCACTGCGACTTTTACGAAAAATAAGTACACCAAAACCGCTTCAACCAGCGAACTTCCCAGGAAGGTCTTAAAACTTAATGGTCACAGACAAGATGAGGACGGCAGCGAGGTCTTTCTGTTGTACCTATAGCCTCCAGCATGGGCTTCCTACCTTGAAAAGCATTTCGGCGTCCTGTGGGCTTCGAGCGTGCACGCGTAGCCAAAGCACTAAGGAAGGCAACGAAAGCGTCCTAAAGGCCGGGTATCCGAAACACGCCCTGTCGTTCCCCTCCTACCATTTACTAAAATCTCAAACCCCCAGCAAAAGAAACAAAAGACATACAAACAGGGTGCCCAACAAAGACTCTCGAGAGATAGTTAAAAAAAAAATTAAATAACCAACGTGGGAAAAGTAGTATCAAATATAAAGTCATACCTGCGGAAACCGGAGATATCCATACCAACGCCGGCAGTGTCAGGAACGCGACCAGCGGGGCTGCAGGCGCCATAATTGCCAACTCCTATACCGCAGGTGATCAGCTCTAATTCCTCTATGAAAACTCCCCTCGACCACACGCGGCCTTATCAAACGATTAGATGCCCGATGTGTGAGGTGTATACCTGCGAGCGATCGGTATCTCTGACGCGAGTCGTATCGGACAAAGTGATGACGTATCCGAAGAACAAAGGCTCCGGAGGCCTTGCACGACGATAGCGTATACGCGAGCATTTTCTGGCTCAATATCGTCGGATGTGCCGAGCATTATCATAACGGCGGTGTGTGTACGTGCGAAGCCGGGCTTCTACAAGTTGCGGGTCTTGCGCGGCGATTGTACTCTTCCGTGCAAGGTCCCGTCTCTGCAGAGGGGACCTTGCAACGGCAAGGGCACCGCGTGAAGGCGCATAAATTCACCGCGCGCGCGCGTTACGGCCTTGCCTGTTGTCAGCACCGCGGATACGCGACGGCGGGACGTAAACAATCGGCTCTGGTTCCGGTGTTTGTCGGAAACAGACTCGATCCTCAGGGACTAATAAGGTTTTCGGTTCTGGTCACCTATCGTTTCGGTGGTTTTTGAGCTTTGCGTGGGACCATTATCCTGACCCTTGGCGAAGGAAAGCCTGCTGACGACAGTTCGACAATCCTCGCTGTAACTACTAAACTATCGGGAAAAAAAAAAAAGAGATCTATTTCGTCTCAAGTAAACAAACAAAATATCTCGGGCATATGTATAAGCATTTCTAGCGCTTTTTCTTCATACAAAGAAATCCGACTCACGGCGCCTGATAGAAGAGAACTACTGCGCACGCTCAAAACGCTTTCCACATCCCAGTAGGGGGAAAACGCGTGCTTGTCGCCCATACAACACCCTCTAAGGTTTACTTTACTCCCTTAAGATGGTGTCTATGTGACACCCCAAAAACCCAATGTGCACCCCCGGCGGCGTTAAAACAACACCTTCGAACGAAGCTCTCTGATGACGACGCGCATGCCAATCAACATCAGGAGTTGTCTTACGGAGGATATAGAGAGCCTACTATCCGTGGAAAAAATAAATACAGCACAAAGAAAGGCGAGAACGTGTCTCCTCAGTCCATCTCTTTTTATGAACATCATTGAAACTACTATCGTGGTGGAAAGTACTAAGTGTGCGTACTAACCTAAGTGGAATGTTTTGATGCCTGCCAGTAAAATACGAAAATAGTAAAATATTTATTTATTTTCGTAAAATACTTACGTATTTTTGTGAAATATTTGCATAATCTACGTGAAATACGAGAAAGCGCCGAAGTGGCGTTCGCGACAACCGTGTTGCGCAATGTACGTAAAAACGCTTGCGTGTGCTTCCTGACGTTACTTTAAAACTCTCCGTCCTTGGTCTTTGGAACCGGGAAACTTGGACACTCATGTATAATCCCTGAGGTTTTTTTCTCGGCCGATTGCTTTGAACCACGCAATAGACTCTTTTTCAGAAGTCCGCCAAGAGACATCGGCGGTCGCCATTGCTTGGACACGAACCGCATGATTGGATCCGAGTCCTCGTCGAACGATGACGTCACACTCATATCGAATACGAGCTGAGCCGAGCTCACGCCGAGCGCTGACGCAGCCGTCGTGTCCAATACAAGCTCAGCGTATGTGAGCAAGCAATGGCGGACAGGCGTTGGCGCGGTCTTTTAAAAGGAGTCTATTCCAGTGGCCGCAGGACTATATTATATTAGTTAAAACATAGTGCAAAACGTGGTTAATGCCTTTAAAAAACTGTAAATGTAAGGCAGGGTGTCGAACCGGAACCGAACCGAACCGAAAACCGGAACCGAACCGGCATTTTTTCCGGAACTGAACCCAAACCCGAACCGTTATATTGTTATCGCGATGAACCCGAACCGGAACTGAACCGAAAAAAAATAACGGTTACCGGCTCATGTCAAAACGGTTTGGCCACGCGCTGTTGACAATGAATGTGCTATCAATGCCATTTGTTTTTCAAGTGCCGTCAACTGACACACACCTCGATTACATATTTTTCTTCTCCACTCAGTCTTAGGAATATAAACGCTGCATCCATGAATCTTGACAAACGCTGCATCCATGAATCTTGACATAGGAACCAGTATTGCGCTGGTCGCGGCTTGCACGGAAGAAAAAAAAATTAAAAGGCTGTGCAAAAAAAAAAAAAAAAAAAAATCGCCTCACGTAATTTTGTTTTTTTTACAATCTCGTAAATCCTAAATGCTGCCTCATTTACCAACACGTTTCTAGAACGCGCGAGTTTTTGAAGCTTGCTTCCATCGGAATGAAAAAAGAAAAGGCTGTGGAGTTTGATAATAATGCATCCGGTTTCGTATATGCACTTAGAAGCTAACATATTTGTGAGACAGCGAACTCTTCTATATTAATATTTATCCTATTACGTCCTTCTGGCGTTGCGTTCGGTGAAGTGTTTTTCATATTCCGTATCTTGTTTAATGAAAAATTCTTTAAGGGTCTAATTTGAGTTACCGAAGGCTAGTTCAAATAAAGAAAGCTGTATTTTCTCCCCACTGTTCCTTCAATCGCTTACACGCCAAGGTGGCGGGATAGTTAGCGAGTTCTACTTGTAAGTGCGTTTGTAAGGAGGTCGCGGATTTTACAGCTACTGCGTCGGACCCAATTAGATGAAGTCCGAATGCGTAAACGTCGGTGAGGTAACCTTTGAGTGCACATAAAGAAACCATTCCTGGTAGAAGTCCTTGAGCCTTACACTACGATGTATCCCGTTTCGTATGTGCTGATTTCAGATGTTTTATTCGTAATTTATTTTGATGTTGCAATTTGTCATTTATAATTTCCGAACCGGTTCGCGAACCGGTTCAGCGCCCCGAACCGGTTCGCGAACCGGTTCGCGGATCGAATTAATCGAACCGGAACTGAACCGGAAGCAAATAAATTTACCTGAACCTGAACCGTAACCGAACCCGTATTTTTTTCGGTTCGACACACTAATGTAAGGTAAATTTGTTTCCCCAATCGCTTGTTCGACAGCTTCAAAGTCCTCTCCTCATAGTGCTGGCCAATGAAATGTGTTGAGATCATCATCGCGAATTAACCAATAGTTTGTACAGCGTTCCCTAAGAAGAGCCCCTGCTTTGCCAAGGTGGTATACTACTTCGCCTCCACTCATAGCAACGTTAAGCAGCAGCTCGTAGAAGTAAATATTTTTTTTTTACCGGCAAAGTTTTTCCCCTACATAAAAACCAGGATAAATTTCAGATTGTTCTAGCCATGAATGAATTATTAGCAATCAAAATTTAAAAATTATTTATCTTCTTGACGCTCACTAGATGTCCTCAAATGGGGACAGTATAAGCAACACTGCTCTAATTTGGCTTCGCGCGCTTTCGACTTTTGCCCGCAGAACGCGTTGTCTTCCTATGCCTCCGAGTTTTTTATTGGCAACTCCACTTCGCCGCTCGCCCCCTCGTGAAGGAACGCAGAACCAGTAAAAACACGCTTGTATTTTGAACGGGTGGCTATATTTTTGGTTCCAGAGGGCCAATTCCAGCGAGCGCTCGAAGTAGAGCCATCGAGGAGCGCGATGCATCACGGGAGACGTGACGTCAGTTGGACCAGCACGCGCAAGGCTCCTTGGGGGCTTGCGTGGTTATGAACTCCGCCACTTGGTGTCGTCAACACGTTACAACCAGGCCGATTGTAGTTGCACCTCCGCACTCTCCGCAGGAGTTGAATAGGCCGGGGGGGGGGACTTTCGCGGAGCGGCGCTTCTTTAAATCAGAGTGGCGTCTTTTCGAGCAAAAGAATTGTGTCTCCGTGGTGTGGCCAGAACGTGGTTGACAGTTAGACAATAAAATAGGTGCTAGAATTTCGTTAAAGTGTGCCTTTAAACTGTATAATGAATAAATAAATAAAAAATATCCTACGTGCGTGCGTGTAAAATCCCACAGGAGTGTTTTTGCGTTAGCACTAGGGTGCGCTGCAGCGAAGCGAGACACAATACGAAAGCCGTTGTGCTCAATTTTCGGCATCAGCTGAAGAAGGTCAACGGGGGACGCAGATTGGACACACTATATACAACACACATATACAGGCTTCACCATGCTGACAAACATAGGTAAGCACAGCCACAGAATGTGTGATGGGCATTCCAGGGAAGAAAAGGGCGTCTGAACGGCAGCGCCTACCGAAGATTCGCTCTCATTTCTGGCACACGTCGTCAGATGGCGCAGCATGACAGAAAAGGATTGGAGGAACGCCTGATCCAGTCGGAGGTGGGTTTTTCCCTGACACACATGGAAGGAGGCGCAGAGGTGAAGTAGATGCTGCCGGGCCTCACCTATGCGGACGATATTGTATTGACGGCGGAGACGGTGGAGGACCTGCAGCGTCTAATATGTATATGCGAGACGGAGGCAGCTACGTTGGGCCTTCGGTTCAACGCCAAAAAGTCGGCAGCCCTTCAATTAGCCGCGTCCGATGAGGCTAAATTAAACAGTCTGGTGCTGAACGGCGAGCAAGCACAGGTACAGGAGTCGTACAAATACCTGGGAGTTGTACTGACCAACAAGCCGGAGTACTTGTCCGAACATTATGCCCACCTCCGACAGGCAGCCGTGCGAGGTACGAATGTACTCCGAAAACGTAATCTTTGGAGTTGCAATCGTTTTCTGGTGACTCGCGAACTCTGGAAGGCAGTTGTGGTGCCTGGAATAACCTTCGCCAACGCGGTTCTTTGTGTTCCTGGCACAGTGCGGGAAGTCATGGAACGTCGTCAACGAGAGGTCGGGAGGCAGGCTCTGGGCTGTCACAGAATGGTGGCCACCGAAGCAGTCCAGGGAGATCTTGGGGGTCGTCGTTTGAGGCCAGGGAGGCGACCAGTAAGATAACCTACGACAGTCGTCTCCGTCTCATGGACCGCGGCCGGTGGGCCAAGTCTCTACGTTTACACGTATCTCACGGGAATGCAGACTGGCTGGAGGAAGCGGCTGTATCAGTTAGAAAAGAAATACGGCTTCTTTTCAACCCCTGTAACTATTACATCAGACAGGAAGGGGGAAACGGAGATACGAAACAGGGTGAGAGAGGAGGAGGCAGCTCGGTGGGCAGAAACGGCGAAGTCCAAGTCGACGCTATATATGTACCATACCATCGACATAAGCACGAAATTTCGGCAGAGACTAGACTATACGAAAACAGCCTGGGCAGCCCGCTCCTCATTGAGTCACGCGCACGAGGGCTGCGAACGCGGGTGTATCGC